ATTTCATTTTTGGTCCACTATATTGGCCATTTTCCAGAAATGGTCCACTAATTTGGCAGACATCAAACCTGATACAATAAGTTGTAAAATTCATCATTTTTGGTCCATAAGTATACGTGGCATTTTATCAGGCGAATACGTGGACATGTTTGATGTCCGCCACGTAGGCTCCCGAGTGATTAATGGACCAAAAGTGATGAATATTACAACTTATTGTATCAAGTTTGATATCCGCCAAATTAGTGGACCATTTTTGAAAAATGGCCAATATAATGGACCAAAAATGAAATTTGGTCCACCCCCAACACTCCAAAATGAGAAAGATAAACGAAAAAAACGCCAACAACTCTCAGAAAACACCCCCTCCCCGAAGCAATTCAAGCTCCCCTTTGAGAGAATTCATGCTCCCCTTTGAGAGAACCCGCAGATTTATTTTTTTTCTCCATGGTTTAGACTTAGGATTTTAATAATTTATGCAATAATAATAAATAAATCTCGAGATATTTATCAACTTACTATTTCTAGAAAATAAAGTTGAATTAATATATAAAAATTTGTTTGGGGCTTACACAGCTTGAACCGATTAAAATCGGTACAGATCTGCGCGGCCCAACGGTCCCCAACAGTCCTGTTGCTGTCGTGTGCGGAAGTGATTGTAAAGCGAGTCAAATAGGTGACTTGCTTTCTTTCTTTTTTCTATGTGGGATGGCTTTGTTCACACAAACAAAGAATAGCCAATCTATTAGGCCGTTAATGGGCCTAGTTTCTTTATTATAACTTCTCTCAAAGCAACTATAGAATCTACACCATTATTTTATTGGGCCCAAGGGAAAAATAATGTTTAAAGATGCATCAAAGTTTAAAATAAAAAGAACCCCCAAATTTTGCTAGCTTCCCATAAATTCCTCCGATATTTCCTTTGCGCCAAAACCAATAACTCATTGTAATCCAAAATTTCATCACAGCAAAATTATTTCTTTTCAGCAAAATTATTTTTTTAAAAAATAGTCCCTTTCTCCTTTCCCCTTATTTCTGGTGCGCACATTAGCCAAAAAAATATAAAGGATCATTTATTGACGTTAATTTGAAATTTCACATTTAAAAATAAAAATAGAAATAGAAAATGGGCAAATTAGAAACCAGAGTCAATTTCGAGAATGTTGAATTAATATACATGCATATTTCCAGGCAAACATGATGCAAACTTAAACCACCTGTACATTTCATGTTAAATATACAACAAAGTTAATAATAGGGACAAATTTGGTCAGTACATACATAAGCTTGTAGGATTTTTTTACAAAATTTGGTCATTGCATAAGCTTTTTCTTTTTGTTTTATTTATTTAGACAAATGTCATTATACACTTAAAATTAATGATAAATATATATAATTATATATTATACATATAAAATATAAAAAGTTAATATTAATTAAACCGGTTCAACCATTGGTTCGATCAGTGAATCATTGAACAAGTTGTTTTACCGGTTTGAGGTTTGATTTTCAGAACCTTGGAATTGCTATAAACTATTTTATCTTTCTTTTTTTTAAAAAAAAAAAAATTAGCATATACTACTCTTACTTTATTTTTATTTAATTTATATATTAATTATTATAAGTGTATTCTTTTTATTTTTTAAACTTTATAAATTTTTTATTTGTATTTTATTTTTACATATGATCTACAAAAATAATCATATTTTAACGATTTTCGATTTGACATCCGTATTGCGTTTATACAATAAAAAATAATTTAATCTATATTTATAAATAAAACCAATTTTTTTATCAACTCAATTTAAAAAAATCATATAACAATATAAATTATTTTATAAAAACAACAAGAATCTAGCTCATTAATACACCGTAAAATATGAATTTTATTGTTTTTTTTTTCCATATTTTGGATAAAATTACATAAAATAAATTTAAAGAAATATTATAAAATATTATTTTTCTATTCAAATATATTCTATAAAAGAAGAATGTTATTATGTTATTTAAAATAGTAAATATAAAAAGATATCATAATGAATTATAATAAAATAATTTTGTTATTTATAAAGTTAGAAAATAATATATTTCTACGTAAGTTTTAAATTATTAATTATACTAGTTTAAAATACTTAAAAAATTAATAAACGTGAGACGCTGAATCTATAAATATATATATAATCAAAATATAATAAAATTTGTTTTGCTTAAAAAAATGAATCAAATATATGAAGTTGTAAATTATATCAGTTTTATACATGCATAATTAAAAATTATTTTTTTTTACAAATATAGTGTACAAATATGTGCACCATTTAAATCTATATATATATATATATATATATATATATATATATATATATATATATAATTGCTGGCATGTAGCATTCAATAAAACATTTAATAAAACCTCTAAAATTTTTCTTCCATTTTTTGTTACAAAATTTGTCATTAATATTTTTTACTTCTCACATTAATACACCTTAATGAGTGTAATCATGTATGTTTCTATTATACTAGTTATCATCCTGTGCACATGCACAGATGTACATAAAATATTGTAAGTAATATGTGTGAATTTAATATTAAAATTATAGATGATAAACATATCACATTTTCAAAATATGTGAATTTAATATTAAAATTCTAGATAAATGACATACCAAATTTTTAAGATTTAATCATTAGTAAAAATAAAATTATATTTATATAAATTATTTGAGTACATATGAATCACTATATTGATTAAAAAAAATTGTGGGTAATGTAATTTTTATAATTTGGAGGGATCATGATCAAATAATTTACTTGAAAATTTTATTATTATTATTATTATTATTATTATTATTATTATTATTATTATAATAATTATTATTTCTATTCTTATTTGATTTTAATTTTTTTTTTACTATACTATTAAAACTATTTACTAATTGTTTCTAAAGAAAATTATTTAATGAAATACAAAATTAAAATAATAATAATAATAATAATAATAATATCATTCATAAAACCTAATTAAGAGTAATCATGTATTTATAAAACTTAATTAATAAAACCTCATTTATTTTTCCTCCAAAAGAAGTTACAAAATTTGTCATTCATATTTTGTCTTTTACATTAATACACCCTATTAAGTGTAATCATGTATATTTTTGCTATTATATTATATTATAGTTAATGCTATTACAACTCATAATATTTCACACTAAATATAAATTACATAAGTATAAACAATTTTATTATTTTAAGATATTTTATTATTATTATTATTATTATTATTATTATTATTATTATTATTATTATTATTATTATTATTATTATTATTATTATTATTATTATTATTATTATTATTATTATTATAGTAGTTAATGCTATTTTTTTTTGCTATTATATTATATAATAGTTAATGCTATTAATTTTTTACATGATTACACTTAATATGGGTGTATTAATGTGAAAGGCTTTGTAACTTATTTTGGAGGGAAAATAAATGAGGTTTTGTTAATTAGGTTTTATTTATGAGGTTTTATTTAATGATTAGCTAGCAATTATATATATATAGATTATATAATAGTTATTGCTAATACCAACTAATAATAATTCACAATAAATATAAATTACATAATTAACAGTTGTTTCAAATTATGTATTTTAACATCAATATTATCTTTTTCTTTTGTATCTCATAAAAATATTTCTTTAAAAATAATTAGTAAATTGTTTTAATAGCATAGTTAAACAACTTTAGAATCTTATAAACAATTGTTTTTTTAATAATAATATATATATATATATATATATATATATATATAATTGCTAGCTTAGCATTTAATTTTACCTATTTAATAAAACCACTAAAATTTTTCCTCTATTTTCAGTTACAAAATTTATCATTAATATTTTTTTACTTCTCACATTAGAACATCATATTAAGTGTAATCATATATTTTTCTTTTATATTATATAATAGTTATTGCTAATACCAACTAATAATAATTCACAATAAATAAAAATTACATAATTATAAACAATTGTTTCAAGTTAGTTATATTAACATCAATATTATCTTTTTCTTTTATATCTCATGAAAAAATTTATTTAAAAATAATTAGTAAATTGGTTTAATAGCATAGTCAAACAACGTTAGAAGCTTATAAATAATTTTTTTAATAATAATAATAATAATAATAATAATAATAATAATAATAATAATAATAATAATAATAATAATAATAATCAATCTGTTATTATTTAATGATAATAAATAATTGTTTATAATAATAAAATTGTTTATTTAGTTTTCCTAATGATCAAATTTTTGAAAATATAATATGTTCATTATCTGAATTTTAATATTAAATTCTCAAATATTACTTACTAATATTTTATGTACATCTGTGCATGTGCAAAGGATATCTACTAGTTAATTATCAATTTGGTTAGTTACATATTATCGTCGCATATTTCATCATACATAATTTCACAATAAAATGTAATCATTTTAATTTTTATTATACAAACGTTACTATATGTAAGTACCCATATGGTACACGAGCATTGCACTAGTAAAATTAAATCCAGGAATCCTGTTTATGCTAAAATCTGTTAAAAGCGATGACTGTCACCTCTTCCCCTCTTGCCAACTTGTACAACAATATTATGCATGCAAAATTCATTTATAGTTATCGCTTATTTTGTTTCATTGTATACGCACTTGTAACCTCTAACGTAATTAGTTGCAACCATCTTTGCTATACATCAAACGTAAAAATCCAATAAATAACGCAAACCCGTTTTGAACTTTTAAATTATGCAAGCAATAACCCATAATCCTCATCACCAATCTTATAGTTGCGCACACGCATTTTCCCATCCTTATCTTGTGACTCTTCACAATCAAACTAACTATCAAGCCTTATAAATACCCATTTCACCATGCATGAATTGTATTCACAACAACAAGTACTCAAAACACATTAAGCAAAAATGTTGAGAAAGAGTTTGGCCATTGGTTTCGTATTCGCGGCCCTTGTGATAGGCTTTGGCGAGGCCAGGCGGGTCCGTGATAGTGGTTTTGTGGGGACGAGAGGAAGCCAATTCGTTTTGAACGGAAGGCCGCTGTATTTCAACGGCTTCAATGCATATTGGCTAATGTATATGGGCTCGGACAACTCGACTCGGGACAAGGTGACGGATACTTTTGAAGAGGCTTCCAAGTACGGGATGAATGTGGCGAGGACGTGGGCTTTCAGTGACGGTGGCTACAGAGCCTTGCAGACATCTCCCGGTTTGTATAATGAAGATATGTTCAAGGTAACATATGTAAACATATATTCGTCATCGACTCTATTCATGCATATATATATATTTTTGTTCGCCGTTCGTTAACTAATTGGATTATATGTGTCCTTTGACTACAGGGTCTTGATTTTGTGGTGTCTGAGGCTAAAAGGCATGGGATCTATTTGATACTTACCTTGGTGAACAATTGGGAAGGTTTTGGAGGGAAAAGGCAATATGTTCAATGGGCGAGGGATCAAGGCCAGTACATGAATAACGACGACGACTTTTTCACCAGTCCGATTACCAAAGGCTACTACAAAAATCATGTCAAGGTAAACTACCCCTAAATAAATTAATGTTTTCTATATGAATGATTTAGTTTTCACATAAAAGGTGTGTTAATTTAATTTCAGGCCGTGTTGACGAGAGTAAACTCAATAACCGGGGTTGCTTATAAAGACGAGCCGACCATTCTCGGATGGGAGCTGATGAACGAACCCCGTTGTCAATCTGACCTCTCTGGAAAAGCTATTCAGGTAGCTAGATAAGCTACCACTCTCTATGATTTACCTCAACGATTATTATTATTATCATTATTTTTTAATTAGAATATTGTCCAAGAAACACAACTGACACCGGCTGGCCTCGTAACAATTTCTATAGGATTGGGTGGCCGAAATGTCGGCTCACGTGAAATCAATCGACACGAACCATCTCGTCGAAATAGGAATGGAAGGATTCTATGGAGAGTCTGTGCCGGAGAAGAAACAGAACAATCCCGGTTATGAAGTTGGCACCGATTTCATTTCCAATAACCTCGTCCCTCAAGTCGACTTCGCAACGATTCATATATACCCGGACCAATGGTTTGTGTTTGACTGTTTGTTGTTGTGTTGCAAATTTAAGTGAATTTGAATAAAATGGTTAGATTTTTCTTCCATAAACATGATGTATATATATGTGTGACAGGGCCCCAGGATCGAGCGAGGAGGGCCAAGCTGAATTTGTGGAGAAATGGATAGAAGAACACGTAGAGGACACGAAAAATATCGTGAGGAAGCCACTGCTGGTGACAGAGTTCGGCAAGTCATCGAGATCATCGGGCTACAACGTGCAAGCAAGGGACGACTATCTGGGCAACGTGTACGGGAGCGTGTACAGATGTGCGCGGAGCGGGGGCCCGTGTGGGGGCGCGCTGTTTTGGCAAGTGATGGCTGAGGGAATGGAGAATTGGAGCGATGGTTATGATGTCGTGTTGGAACACAGCCCGTCTACTGCTGCTGTTATCTCTCAGCAGTCTCGTCAAATTGCTTCCCTTAATAATTAATTATTAACTTATTCCTATGATTATATCTATGAGTTGTATTGAAAAAAAAATAAAAATAAATGATTAATTTGGGATGTAATAAAAAGAACATTTATTGCCATGGTTGGGTCATTCAGATGGCATTGCAATTCAATGATGATGTGTCTTGTGTTTCTTATGTAGTATTTTTTATGGCTTTGGATCAATACTCGAATTCTATCGACGTAAACCTAAGTAAAATATTAAAAGTGTATTCAGATGAAAATGCATCACAATGAAAGAAATAAGGATAAACATGTACATTGGATCCAATATATCAATGACATCGAGTAATGTGTACAAGAAATCGATCTAGGAGACTCGAGCGTAAAACTCGATGGATAAACCTAGATAAAATCTCCAAAAGGCTTCCGCTCGGAAAAAATGAATAAATAAAAAAATAATAATTAATAAATAAAATTTGACTCAACCATATCGATAAGGAATTATGAAAAAAATGAATAATAAAATTATGAAACTATAAAATTCAAGAGGAATTTGCTGAAGTGTCTAAGGGGGATGAAATTATGAAGAACATGTATTTGAAAGCACAACACAGAGATTAAATCAAGCATTATTGACAATAAAAGATACAAGACTTATGGTTGAGTCAAATTTTATTTATTTATTTATTCATTTTTTTCCGAGCGGAAGCCTCTTGGACCGGCCAATGCATATGTATTCAAATTTAGCATACTTGCAGCCCGAACATATGCATTGGCCAGTTTTCATAATCCTTTCTTCTTCAAGTAACCAGCGTAGCGTCCACCATAATCGAGAGAGAAACTGGTAAGAAATAAAAACTGCTAAATTTGTTACAGAGATTTTGTTTCTCAGTGAACCGGCCAATGCATATGTTCGGGCATATGTTCGGGCTGGGTTTAGATCCCTCTAAACTCCAGCTGGAACTGAGGTTTGGCGACTTCTACTTGTAAGACGAAATTTTTACGATCCAAGGAACTCCTATAATAATAAAAATTCAAGAAGTTGAGAGATTCAGTCCCCATTTAAATCATGTACTCTTTAATTTCTGCACGTAATCAGTACCAACAATTTTCGACAAAACACACGTACATCAGATTGTCCAATTAAAATTGCACATGAATTCCGAATGCATTGCAATAAAAAATCAAAACTACTGACCCCACTACTACTGCATATCTTCAAATTATCCAAAAATGTCTCGCGTGAGAGTTTCATCTAAGGTTAGCCTTTTTTCTTCTAACCAAAGGAAGCAAAGATCCACACACTACCTAAGACAACAGTACCCAATCGGACATATCAAATCCGTGTAATCGAATTTGCACGAATGAACTCTTTGAGAATGGCCTTCTCCTCATCTATACGTTTCTTCTCCTCTCGACTCGTGGGTTTCACCTTTCTTTTCTCTTCCAAAATCCAGTTGAAAATTTCACGTTGCTGGTCTTCTGTGACAGGCTGTCGCACTATCACGGGACTCGTGATAGGAGTAGGAAGTACTGGCTCAGGTTCAACTGGAGGGGTCACGATAACGGGAGTTTCGGGAGCAACTTCTTCAGTGGGGACCGCAGTTTTCTCTTTTCCTCTTGGTTTCTTACCCGATTGCCAAAACATATACCCTGCATAGTATGTAACAAATAAGTACCAGAATACTCCAGGCATTAAGGAAGTTTGCCAAAAAAAGAAGAAAATAAGGACGACAAAAAGACATCAAGTTATTTATGCATCTTGAAGCTGATCTTTTTTTTAGTGGACAAACTGTACCTTCTACATAATAATAATAAACTTTAAAAAGTATAAGTGCTTCAAGGACACTCTCACATTAAAGAAACAATAATAACGTTAGTTGAGACTTTTTCCAAGCACCAACGAGTTCTGGCAAGACTGAGAAGTAGCAATAAACTTCCTCCAATCATTAAAATCTCTCTGAATTTTTACGGCAATAGAATAATTTTATCCTTTACTGAAAACTCACCCTTCAACTTGCAGCAATAGACTTGGCCTAGACTCAGCTTAACCCATTTTCAGTAAAATAAACTACGAGCAACATTGCCAGATCAAGGGATTTATAGCTGAATACCGCTCACAACTTTTACAAACCACTATATGACAGCGTATGTAAATAAATAATAACATAAATCTTAAATCAACACTTGCCATGATCACAGAGTTCAATATATTCATTAGACATCCTACACGATCTATTTCGGAGCACAATGTGTCACTTGCATAAGGATGTTGATCTACAACTTGTGGATGCCTATAAAGAATGTAGGAAAGAATTTGGAGTCATAAACAACAGAAAGATCTGATAGGGTTGATATGTGGGGCACAAGTGCACAATAGTGTCAAAACATCTATACTGTTATATTATTATTATTATTATAAAGTATAAAAGGAGGAATGATTTTGCAAAAATTGCACGAACTAAAAAGTCAATATATTTAATTTATTTTTAATGGAACAATGGTAATCACAAAGTATTTTAACATAATAGGATTCTTATTCTGTATAAATTAATGAACGATAAGTCCTTTTTTTAATAAAAAGTAAAAACTTAAAGAGTAAGATCATGAGACACGTTTTGAACTTCCAAGTTGAAGAGACTTATCTGGCGAATTGCAGCCAATACCTTATTATGCACTTGTTTTGAAAAAACAAAATTTACCATCTTATGTATTTTCATTAGTGGCATTTCAACAAACTAATAATCGTCCTTTCAAATTTTTGACATAATCTTATCATACCTTCACTTCCTTATTCTATCATGGTAATTTTTGCTTTCTAAAACTACCTACATGCTATTATGGCATTGAGGCTCACAACATTTTGCAACGATCTTATCACGTCAAGCATGGCGACCTGATAGTTAAGATATGCATACGCAAACACAAAAATACAGAAACCTCAAGTGCATTCCTGCTATCTTTTTAAAACAAAATTAATGTGCTACTAACAGATACCACCACCATCCCCTAAGCATTTGCCTATCCAACTCTAAGAGCGCCGTTAAACAACGAACCAATTCAGCTCAAATGTTATAGTCGACAATTTAGCACAGTGGAATCATGCTTTACAATCTCCGCAAATCCTGCACCGCTACGTGAAAAGTATTAACATAGGTCACAAATGGAGGGTAGATTGCTTCAATTTTATGAATATTTCTCATACCGAATCGAAATCGGTTCCCAGAGGCACAAGGTATACAACAGGAGTAGAAGGCCCATGAAATACAAGCAGCAGATAACAATGCCCCAAAAACGACACATATTGATAATCCTATCTATACCACGGCTAACCCAACCCAGGTTTCCAAAAACTAAATAATAAACACGAACAATGAGTAATCAAAGCTTGTAAACCCTAGGTTATTATTCCATGATTAATAACAAATGGGCATCAACGATTGATTATGATGAAAAGAGAGACTTACCGCCAAGAGCGAAGTTGAAAATAAGCACCACACGCCAAATTGATTTGTAACGCTTCACGGTAGCTTCGTTTGGGATCGGATTCACAGGTGGATTTCCCTCCATTTTCCTGGACCTCCCGTAGATGGAGAAGCACGGCGAGCTTTGAAAAAAAAAAAAATTGTACGATCACAGCTAGGTTATCAAATTCGAATGCTCTTGAAATTTTCCTCTCCCAAAAAATTTAAGAGATTGAAATTGATTGGGTAAATCGGATCCATTATGCTGGTTGAATTTAACAGTGTCTGTAACACTTGTATTTAGGAATTGAAAGGAATTGAGAATGAACACGAAACCCAACCGACAAATCCAATAGTTCTAATATGTGGAATTTACCACTAATATTAATATTAATATTATCTTGTGCATTGAAGTGTATGCTAGTGGGCTTAAGGTTTGCCCAAAAAAGGGACCATCAGCTTTGTAAAGTTAGTACAAAAAAGAGAAAGAGAATTAGCATCGGTTTTTATATTGTGTTCTTTATATTCCTCGCATTTCATAACATGTTATCAGCACGAGCGCTATTACCATTATTCTTGACAAGTTAGGCTCTGCCACGGTCAAAGATATATATACATATTACTATTATTTTTGACAAGTTAGGCTCTGCCACAGTCAAAGATATATATATATATATATATATATATATATTACCATTATTCTTGACAAGTTAAGCTCTGCCACAGTCAAGGATATGTGGTATGAATATACTAAATATGATATTATTTACACATTATCATTATTATTGGCAAATTAGGCTATGCCATATGTGGTGATATGATATTATTAAATTTGCTTATGAATTATTATTCAAGTTATAATAAATAATATTATTACTTATACTTAACACCCACAAAATGGTTTACCCAGTAATGTGGCGTGAAATTTATAACTTTTTATTCTTGTACCCACAGTAAAATTTATCAAGTAATGTGGAGCATTTTTACTTGCTTTGTTATATTCACGAAAATGTTCATCAAATAATTCGGAAAAATCTTTAAGGTAATATACATGATTAATTAGAATTTTATGATCATAAATAATTAATTAGCAAATATTATATCATTAAATTTGGTTCCAACGGCTAGTTAACGGTTATATTGCAACGGCTATTTACCAATATCTATATATAACACTACAATTCATTTTCATAATCCAAACACTCAAAATATATATTTTTTTTAAAAAAAAATGTTTGATCCATTAGTTATAATTACCATTATATTGTTCATTATGTACGCTTTAGTATTATTCACGATGTTGTATTATTATGTTGAATTTATATTTTATGTATTGGGGCTTTGTATAATGTGTTTAGTATTTGCTCTTTTGTACGTATTAAAGAATTAATGATTATGTAATTTTTCGAATCTAAGCATTGATGTTTTATTTTATAGTTATCATGGCAAATCTGGTCAAACTCGAATTTGAAGCTCTCGATATATCTGGAAAAAAATTATATATCATGGACATTAGATGCCGAAATTCATTTGGCGGCAAGGGGATTAGAAAAAACAATAATCTCCCCAAATGATTCATCAATACAGGATAAAGCTAAAGCAATGATATTTCTGAAGCGTCATTTGAATGAGGCATTGAAAAATGAATATTTAACTGTAAAAGATCCTGCAGATCTCTGGAAAGCCTTGAAAGAAAGGTATGATCACCAGACAACGGTGATTCTCCCCCGGGCTCGTTATGAATGGATGCATTTACGCTTCCAATATTTCAAAATTGTAAACGAGTACAACTCAGCCATGTTCCGCATTTGCTCGGTATTGAAATTATGCGGAGAAAACATAACTGATTACGATATGCTGGAAAAAAACGTTGTCCACATTCCATGCTTCAAATGTACTTTTGCAGCAACAATACAGAGCAAAAGGCTTTGTTTTCTTGTTTGCTGCTGGCTGAACAAAATAATGAATTGTTGATGAAAAATCATGAATTTAGACCCACGGGGTCTACTGTGGTCCCTGAAATAAATGCTGTAATAACTAGACAGGGAACCGAAACTGAAAACAGTCAAACACATATGCGTGGATATACCTCGGGACGTGGCCGGAGTCGTGGACGTGGATGTGGCCGTGGATATGGTCCAGATCGCCGATTTGACCGAATCCACAAATTTCACCAAGGGTATAACTCGGGCCGGGGATATAATTGTGGGCGAGGCCGTAACTATGCCCAAAATTTTAAAAGGGGGAGAAATTTCCAGCCAAAATTTGAACAGAATAATGTGACAGAGAATAATGATGAAAAGGCATGTTATCGATGTGGAAAGACGGGACATTGGGCACGCAATTGTCGTGCTCCGAGACAAGTTGATAATTATAACAATTCCCAAAAATCAAAAGATAAGAATATAGAAACCAATTTTATGATTGGGGAACCCTCTGAAAATGATTCAACACGTGTGGATGATGAATATGGCATCGATGACATATTGAACCTGGACTTTGCCGATGGGGTAGTTGAAGACCGAGCTGGAAATGACCAAGAGAATAACTGATGATCGTGTTTTTATTGCTTTCTTAGTTTTATTTTATGTGTGTGCTTTTATCTGTATTTCGACTTTAATCAATAATAAATGTTGTTTTTCTTTTAGATCATGGATCGATCTCAAATCCAAAATGGAGATATATGTCTTGCAGATTGTGTCACTACTCATACTATACTCAAGGACAAAAAATATTTCATCAACTTGAAATTAAATAAAGCAAAGGTAAACACAATTTCTGGAAATGCAAAGATAATTGAGGGTTCTGGAAAGGCCATATTTTTTATGACGGGAGGTACAAAGTTTACATTGAATGATGCATTATTCTCCCCAAAATCAGCAAGAAATTTGTTGAGTTTTAAAGATATCCGAATGAACGGATACCATGTTGAAACAATGAATAAAGGGGGAGTTGAATATCTTTGCATTACCTCAACTATTGCGGAAAATAAATTTGTTTTGGAGAAATTACCAGCTTTATCCTCGGGCTTATATTACACTCGCATTCATATTATCGAAACTTATGCTGCAACAAATTCTCAGTCGGTTGAAATGTTTAAACTTTGGCATGATCGACTTGGTCATCCTGGCTCAATAATGATGCGAAGAATTATCGAAAATTCTAGTGGGCATCCATTAAAAAATCGGAGGATACTACAAACACATGAATTGACGTGTGTCTCATGTTCTCAAGGGAAATTGATAATAAGACCATCACATACTAAAGTCGGACATGAATCACCATTATTTTTAGAAAGGATTCATGGTGATATATGTGGACCTATTCATCCACCTTGTGGTCTATTCAGATATTTTATGGTGTTAATTGATGCCTCTAGTAGATGGTCTCATGTGAGTTTGTTATCCACTAGAAATGTGGCATTTGCTAAATTACTTGCCCAACTTATCAAATTAAGAGCTCAATTCCCAGATTATATTATCAAAAGAGTCAGACTTGACAATGCTGGAGAGTTTACATCTCAAGCATTTAATGATTATTGTACGGCAGTGGAAATTGATGTTGAACATCCTATAGCACATGTTCACACTCAAAATGGTCTAGCAGAATCATTAATTAAACGACTGCAGCTTATAGCCAGACCATTGATAATGAGGACAAAACTCCCCACTTCAGTATGGGGACATGCTATTCTGCATGCAGATAACCTAATTCGAATAAGACCAAGTGCACACCATACATACTCGCCATTACAGTTGGCATATGGTCGAGAACCAAATATTGCACATATAAGAATTTTTGGTTGTGCAGTGTATGTACCAATTACTCCACCCCAATGTACGAAAATGGGGTCTCAAAGAAAGTTGAGAATATATGTTGGATATGAATCTCCTTCAATAATAAAATACCTTGAGCCAAAAACATGTGATGTTTTTACAGCTCGGTTTGATGATTGTCATTTTAATGAAGAATTATTTCCCCCTTTAGGTGGGAATGAAAAGTCAATTGAGAAAAATATTGAATGGAGAACATCATCACTATCATATCTTGATCATCTCACCAAACAAAGAGAGCAAGAAGTTCAAAAGATCATACATTTGCAGAATATTGCAAATCAATTGCCAGAGCATTTATTGACACCAAAAGGGTAACAAAATCACATGTTGCAGCTATAAATGCCCCTGCTCAAATTGAGATTTCAAAAGAAATGGCAAATGACGATGTACCAAATGAATTAAAGACACGCTTGAAACGAGGAAGACCAATGGGGTCTATAGATAAGAATCCTCGAAAGAAAAGAGAAATTCAAGATTCGAATTTGAAAAAGAATCAAGATGATGGAAAAATTTCGGAACGAAATGAAAATATTGAAATCTCCATCAATTACGTAAATAATGGAAAACTTTGGAAGCGTGATGAGATCATTGATGATGCATTCGCATATATGGTATCACAAGAAATTGACAAAGAAGTTGAGGATTCTGAACCAAAGTCTATGATTGAATGTCAGAAAAGACATGATTGGGACAAGTGGAAAGGTGCTATTCAAGCCGAGTTAAATTCACTTAATAAACGAAAGGTTTTTGGACCTATTACCATTATACCCAAAGACATAAAATCTATTGGGTACAGATGGGTTTTTGTCAAAAAAAAGAAATGAGAAAAATGAGATCACAAGATATAAAGCTCGCCTTGTAGCACAGGGATTCTCCCAGAGGCCTGGGATCGATTATGATGAAACATATTCCCCTGTTATGGATGCAATTACTTTCAGATACTTGATTAGTTTGACCATCCATGAAAATCTTGAGATGCGTCTCATGGATGTTGTGACTGCTTACTTATATGGATCGCTAGACGCTGACATTTATATGAAAGTTCCAGAAGGAATTAGAATACCCGAGGCACTAAAGTCCAAACCTAAAGAGTTATGTGCGATAAAACTGCAAAGATCATTGTATGGCTTAAAACAATCCGGGCGCATGTGGTATAATTGTTTGAGTGAACAATTACTAAAACGGGGATACATAAATAATCAAATATGCCCGCGTGTTTTTATAAAAAGATGACAAGATGGAGTTGTGATAATTGTTTTCTATGTCGATG